CCATTGCCATTGCCATTCGTCACTACCATTACCATTGCCAGTACCATTTCCACTCCCATTCCCATTACCATGATACTACCGCTGCCATTACCATTAGAATTCCTATTCTCATTCCCATTCCCAATACTATTACAATTTCCAGAACCATTACCATTACCATTACCAGTGCCATTACCATTACCACTACCACTATCATTTCCATTCCCGTTCCCGTTCCCATTCCCACTTCCATTCCCATTACCATTACCATTACCATTACCACTGCCATTGCCGGTACAATTACCATTACCATTACCATTACCATTACCATTACCATTACCATTACCATTACCATTACCATTACCATTACCATTACCATTACCAGTACCAGTACCAGTACCAGTACCATTACCATTACCATTACCATTACCATTACCATTACCATTACCTTTAACTCTACCTTTACCTCTACCCTTACCATTACCATTACCATTGCCATGGCCATTACCATTGCCATTGCCATTGCCATTGTCATTGCCATTCCCATTGCCATTGCCATTGCCATTACCATTACCATTACCGTTGCCATTGCCATTGTCATTGCCTCGCTACCCCGTTACCACTATCATTACCGTAACCATTACCAGTACCATTACCAGTACCATTACCATTACCATTACCATTGCCATTGCCATTGCCATTGCCATTGCCATTCGAGGATTTCAGTAGGAATCATTCAGTGGAGGGTTTCAGTAGGAATCCACATGTGGAGGATTTCGGTAGGAATCATTCAGTGGAGGGTTTCGATAGGAACCCTTCTGTCGAGGATTTTACTGTGAATCCTTCTTATGGGGGCGTCCAATAGGAATCCTTCTAGGGGGGAGGGCAGATGTGGTCACGTCGCATTCCTTTTTTTTTTCTTTTTTTTTTCCTGGCGCCCCCCCCCCCCAGAAAAAAAAATATATATATATATATATATATATATAGTATATATATATATAAGTTTTTTTGTTCTGGGGGGGGGGCGCCTGGATAAAAAAAAAAAAAAAAAAAAGGCAGAGAGGTAGCAGGAGGGGGAGAGGGAGGAGGAGGAGGAGGAGGAGGAGGAGGAGGAGGAGGAGGAGGGGGCGGAGGAGGAGGAGGAGGACGACACAGAGCAGAGTTTGTACAGAAACAGTCGCGATCTCAGCGCGAAACCCTCGCGCGCGCGCTTTTGAACCCCTGCGACTCCACAATCCCCCGTTCTCGAGGAAAAGGAGGAGGAAGAAGAAGAGCGCGGGGGGCGGCCGTCTCAGCAGGCGGTGGGGCTTCGATGAGAAGGCAGGGGGTCTTGTTGGAAGGGCCCCATGGCTTCTGATAAGCCTTCTTAGAAATCTCTTGGGGGGCCCTCTCAAACTTCCGTAGAAACCCATCATCCTTCTTAGAAGGCCTCCTCCCTTGCGCATTCCCGTGACATATGGGAACTCTGCCTATCCAGAGGGCGTTGTTCACTTGCCTGCAGGTGGCCTGAGCGACTGGGACTTCGGACCCGTTGGGGCGTGCGGAGCTCACCTCGTTGGGATGGTGCCTGTGACGCCGGTTGTCAGCATGAGGGTGCTTCCCCGCCCACGCTGTTCCAGCCCTTGCCGCACCTGGTGAGGCTTCGAGTTGCCCTTGCCCCCCTGGGTAGTCGCGGCTGGCCTCAACAGGCCCCCCGAGTAGTTTTGGGCGGTCTCAACCTCTCAACCCTGCGGCGCGGAACGCCCCAGGGATCAGGGACGTTGCCGGTGGCGGCGCCAGGGTGTGGAGACCGCCTCCGCCTCCGCCTCCGCCTCCGCGTCCTCTCTCTGTCCTCATCCTCCTCCTCCTCCTCCTCCTCCTCCGCCTCCCCTTCATCGTCGTCGTTGTCCTCCTCCTCCTCCTTCTTGTCCTCCTCCTCCTCCTAGCCATTTCCAGGTTTCAAAGTTGTAACCTTTGGGTCGGCGCACTTGGAAGTGGCGCAGCCGACTCGAGCCTAAAGTCTGATATTCTACATGTCACCCTATGATGCGTCGGGGCAGGGCCAGAGCAAGACCTGGCAGTGTCGCGACTCAACGTGTGCCTTCGCCAACTTTCTCTTCAGGTCGGCCTGTCGGGAGTGCGGCTCGAAGGCGCCGCAACATGTCATCAATCAGCAACGAGAGCAGCGGCAGCAGAAAGCCTCGGGTTGGAATGGCAAGTCGCAGCGGGGCAATGCCTGGCTCAACGGTCCTCCTGCCTTCCAGAGCCAAGGCGGCTCAAGGGCTGGATGGCGCGCCAATCCCAGCACCGCGGAGCTGTCAAATGAGGACCTCATCAAGCTGCTCAAGTCACGAGGGCTTCAAGCGGGCTCGGAGCTTGACACCAAACTCACCGAAGTGCTCAAGAAAGCGGAGGAGCCTGGGCCAGCAGACCTTGGCTCCAAAGGGCTTCAGGACCTGCTCCAGAGGCAGTCGCGGAAACTCAAGCAGATCGAAGGTTCCACCGAGAGAGTGCAGAATGCCAAGGCCGCGCTCGAGGACGC